AAAATGGTCGGGTTTGGGAACCCCGACCGTTTCGTGTTCGTGCATAAAATGGTCGGGGTTCCCAACCCCGACCATTTGGCAGACTCTTCCAGCTGAAAATAGCTGGAAATATGAACTCCGCTGGAAATTCAAACTCCTGCTGTTACATATCAATCCACAATTCAATCACAATCACAATAACACACATACCAATCAATAATCTCAAATAAAAAACCATAATCAATCGGATACATACCATGCAATTCACATACTAATAATCAATACTCAATCTAATACATAATATTTAGTTTCACGCAAACATCCTATCAATACTCAATCGGATACATAATATTCAGTTTCAATCGGATTCAACTCCCTTTCCTCTCCCTCTCCCCCTCCCCCTCCCTCTCCCCCTGACACGTTCACCTTCGACGTGAGCTCGGATCAGTTCCTCGTCCGGTTGTGTGTGAAGTTGGGAGTGCATGACATCCTCATCGACTCGAACCGACTGTGAACATCCGGCTTGAGCCTGTTGTGAGCCCCAGCTTCATCATGTGCACCGCTTGAGCCTGCCCCTGTGTCCTCGGAATCGACGACGATCGTACTCAATTGGTCTCGCTCCTCACGTTCATCTCGTCTTGCATTACGCGTCCTTTGAAGAGCGGACCGAATCTTTTTGATCATGCGAAGGAACGTGTTCCTCGGCCCTGGCTCGGTAGTTGTTCGGATTGCATCATGCGCCATAGTAGAAAGTTCTTCGAGCTCTTGTACCTATACGATAAAAACCCCAAGAAAGCTATTATGATTTGGATGATAATAAAATAAAACTCACAAGGTAACTGTATATTTTGCTTATACACTTACCAACTCTCTCTCAACTGGGCCTCTTGGTATGTATTCCTTAGGGGCTTTGTTCTCCTGAAATATCCACCGGCGAGTAATCCCCCAATACCACCGCAAATACACACCTAGGTCAGGTGCGTCAACCCTCTCCATCACCAACTGTTCTTCCCTGTTATCCCACCTCCCGATGTAAGCACTGTGAATATGTTCCCAATCTTGACGATGTGCACCTTTTCTGGGATTTCTCTCTATTACCTCCACAGGGACCGGGATATGTTGTCGTAGCCCAAATTGTCGTAGCACACGGTCGGGCACGTGCATCTCGACAATCTCAAAACATATGATCGGGACGCGAGCACGCCACACATCCGGCTCTTCTGTGCATATATCTGGTAGTGACTCTAAAACTTGTTCATATGGCATCCACTTGACCTATAAAAAGATAAAGTAAAGCAGATTTCAGTAATAAATGATGTAATGATTGAAAATTTTTAGATATTATGATTTAATACCTGTTCGTCCTCCATTTGATCGAGCTCGTTCCTATAGAAGTTTTCATGGCCCTTTGGTGAGGTATGCCATGATCTAGATACATTCCATCTAATTTATATACAATGAGTTAGTATAAATTAAAATAAATGTATAAAATTACATGTAATCATATATTTTTAAAAATAACTTAGTAATACCTGCAGCCTAACGGAATATGGCCATCGAGAGCACGTGCCTCTCTCAAATCTGGGCAACCCAAATGCAATCTCTCCCAAGACCATATCTGTAGTAGAGTGAGACAACCCTTGAATTCTTTGTTTTGAACAAGAGCCACTTTGGTCATCTCCCTATACAGATACGCTAACACGGCACTCCCCTATGACAATCCCCCACAATCCACAAGATCCTCCAGGAGTGGCAACCACCTCACGTGCACCGAATCCTTCGTGGAATCCGGGAATAGAATAGTACCGATCATGTGAAGTATGTATGCACGGGCATACATCTTGACGATCTCCTTGGTCGCATCGATCGAAACATTCATAAAATTGTTTCTCAACCATTCAAGTTTGATCCTTCCACCCCTCATGTGAGGAACTTGACCCAACAATGCTTCACACTTGTCTGATCAGTTGAAGTCGTCGCTACCTGTGACAGCATCTCCATCCACACGGAGTCCAAGCAAAACCCCTACATCCTGCAATGTAATCGTCGACTCTCCTTGGCGCAGGTGGAATGTGTTTGTCTCGGGCCTCCATCGTTCAACCAGTGCTGTCAAGAGAGCCCAATCAAGTCTCACCCATTTAATTTGTGAGCACTCAAAGAAGCATGCTTGACGGACATAATATTGGACATGTGGATCGGTCAACTCCCAGCTCGAGTGTGCACGAGTGTGATCAACGATAGTAATGCTCGGGGCCTGCATATAATAAACGGTGGTCAAGAGAGCCCAATCAAGTCTCACCCATTTAATTTGTGAGCACTCAAAGAAGCATGCTTGACGGACATAATATTGGACATGTGGATCGGTCAACTCCCAGCTCGAGTGTGCACGAGTGTGATCAACGATAGTAATGCTCGGGGCCTGCATATAATAAACGGTGCAAATGTTCAGTAACAACCAATAACTTAGAATAAACGATTGCTTCTTTTGATCACATCAAGATATTGAGGCAGAGTCGCGTAAGACCTTTCCCAATCACCAAATATTTTTGTCATCGCAATTCTCCTTGCATTCCACGCTTTGATATACGATATTTCAATCCACTTATTATGTGACACTCTCTCAATTATGTCATCGGGCCTTAGTTCAAGCTTCTTCTTTAATCTTGGCATAATCAACCGAGCTATGTAAGAGGCGGAGGCACCACTGTGGTCTCTCTCGAACATTGGATTGTTACATGTATGAACACCGCAGTATTTTGTGATCCTAAAATACCCATTATGTTTCTTTCCGGCAAATGCATATAACTTCCAAGGACATGCGTAATCAGATTCATTCCCCTCTGCCCGACCTTGCCTTTGTGTATTCATAAAACAGATTGCCTCATAACTTGTACGATTGCTTTTAATTTGCTTGAATTTGACCAACTTTTTGATTGAGTAATCACGAATAGCATCTACCAATTGGTCTTTAGTCTCAAATAATTCACCAACTCTGAAAGGAACCTCCTCATCATCTCCTCTATTGGATGAACTTTCGCCAATGCGGATATCATGTACTGTGGAAGAACGAACTCACTCATCATCCTCAAACTCGTCGGGGGGTGGTTCTTCGTACTCCACATATTCATTATTAACATAAGCTTCATCTGGCCAATCCGGATTCTCTTCATCATCTTCACCCACAAATTGCATGCTGTCAAGTGGTGCACTATCTTCATCTTCACCATCAGAGGCGTCGCTTCTTTCACCCTCTTCATATGAAGGTGCACCACCCTTATATTGAAATTGAGTCCGCTGTATTTCACTCGAAGAAGAAAGAAAGCCTTCAGACTCAACTTCCAAATCTAACATGCGTGAAAATTCTCCTGGAGGGTTGAATATTCGGCCCGTACTATGTGGCACCGTTTCAATAAACAATTCTACCGTTGGTTGTGACTTGCTCAAATTAAACAAAATACTCATGGAATGATCGTTTGAGATCTCAACGGCGGACGTTCTATCATAAGTTATCGGCCAATTGCATATTATTTTTAGCCTGCAATCTCGTGGGTCAATTGTCGTAACTCCATGAATTTCATTAACCAAGTCAAGGTAACTGTATGATTCCGATATCATTAACGGAATTGTCACCCCTCCGACGTACATTGTCATATTATTCATTCCATACTTAATCGTTCCACCGTAAGAGCAAGCAATAAAAATCATACTGTTCAACCTATACAAATCAAAATTATATCATTTAAATGCAAAAAATTTAAAAAATATTATCAATTAATACCCTAAAATCTAATTGCAACCCTAAAACACAATTACAACCGTAAACCCCTAAATCCTAAACCCTAAAATTGACCCCCAAATTCTAAACCCTAAAATTGAGTATTCTATGCCCCCAAATATTTAATTTCAACTACAACAAGAATAAAATTTCTAAATAAACCACTACAAATAGAGTTCAAACACTATAAATTCGTTTTGGAGAGAAAACCCTAGATTTCTAGGTGTCAAAAGAGGAGAGAAGGGAGAGAGTACCTATTAGATCTTTCACCTCTAGAATTCCGCACCAAAAAAGAGGAGAGAAAGCTGCGATCGACGAAAATGAGAGTTTGGGAGGAGGAGATCGACGAAAATGAGAGAGAGAGACGCGGCTGGAACCGGAAACGAGTGAGAGAGTGAAGTCGTGACCTTTATATAGGTCGGGGGCCCAGTGAACAAATAGTCGGGGTTGTGAACCCCGACTATTGTCACTTAGCCTTTTTCACCGCTCGGCGGCTGAGACAGAGTCTCTGCCAAATGGTCGGGGTTCACAACCCCGACCATTTTGGGAACAACACCTACCTCTCTGCCAAATGGTCGGGGTTGGGAACCCCGACCATTTTGGGAACAACACCGACCTCTCTGCCAAATGGTCGGGGTTGCCAACCCCGACCAATTAGGCAGGGGCCTAAATTAGTCGGGGTTGGAAACCCCGACTATTTTAGCCTGCCCTTAGCTAAATAGTCGGGGTTGCCAACCCCGACATAACTAAATAGTCGGGGTTGGCAACCCCGACTATTTAGCGGCGTCATTTAAAAAAAAACCGACCCATTTCGTGGCCACGCTGCTGACGTGGCCCGAAATGGGTCGGTTTTGAGAATAAAATGTGGACTGGGTCGAATTTTTTAATAAAAAATTTAAAGGAGTTTAAATCGAAAATTTGTTCACGCACAAAATTATAGCTACACTTCACAATTATATTTATTTATGTAATTATAGTTTTTTTGGCACAAAATTGTAAAGATGTTGCTTTCAATCTCATCAGCTGTTGAGTCTCGAACAGCACTTCAATTAACTACGTCTTACGTGGCAATCTACCATTTACCCATCACCATCAGAACTGGGACCCACAACTGTGAGGACTTCCTTCGGCTTTATCGTTCTGTTCCTCCATTTTCTCTCTCCTCTCTGCCCTCGCCGATCCTTCGAAGAGAGAGAAAATTTTTTAGAGAGGAACGGCTCGAAATTAGGGCTAGGGTTAGGGTTTTTCTCGCTCTAATTCGACTCATTTGTTAAATCCTTTTCGATTCGATTCGTTAACATTTAGAGGAGACGATGAGTATAGATCCGGTTCCGTCATCCAATTCGCATGGGAACCTCGACGAGCAGATCGCGCAGCTGATGCAGTGCAAGCCTCTATCGGAGCAGGAGGTGAGATGAATCTCCTCGATCCGTTTCAAATCTGTGAATTTTTTCCTGTTTTGGTCTAGTATTGTGTTTGTTTGCTGGATCTGAGGGGCGATTACAGTAGATCTTGGATTGTTTTAGGTTTATTGGCAGGAAATGAGGGTTTGTTTCTGTGATCTACGAATTGTGCGGGTTTGTTGTACCTAGGGTTTCCGTTTCGGGGTGAAATTCTGTATTTAGCTGGGAAAGAGTCTGTGTGTTCTTTTGCGGGACAATTGTGATGAATGTTCCGGACCTACTCAGGAGGAGGCCTTTTGGTGCTAGTTTTTCAGGGATTATGTAGAGTTTGGGGGGATTTTGATTTTTGTGATTATCGTTTGCAAGCTGAATATGGGATATGTTGGAATTAAATTGTTAGGATTTTGTGAAATGGTCAGGTGAAATCTAAAATTAAAATTACTGTTAATCATGCGAAAGGTTAATTGTGCACGTGGACTACTAAAGCAATTTTCATTGGTTCAAATTCTGTAAGAAGCACTCAACTTTTATACACTCTTTGCAGGGGCACTCTGTTTTTATTCTAACATTTCTCTCACGCAGGTTAGAGTGTTATGCGACAAAGCAAAGGAAATACTAATGGAAGAAAGCAATGTTCAGGTAACCTCTATTTATTTTCTTAACTATTGTGATAATTTTGCTCCTTGGTTATTTTAGTTTCTGTATTTTGGAACTGTTTGGGTTCAAGTTTATAGGCCACTTTGAGACATAATAGCTGAAACATAGTGGTAGAGTTAAATAAGTTGTAGTTAGAGGTTGAACTCAAGGATTTCCCCCTCCCTTTCACGAATTATTCCTTTTTATATTGCAAGACCCCTCCCCAACTTAGTATTTAATCCCTAGACTAAAGGTTCTTAAAGATTTGTTCAATGGCTTAGTGTAATGAGCTCTTGTCATTCATTCCATGAGTACATCTATACTTCTATACTACTTATAAAAGAGAATACCCATGTCAAGAATTTTAATTTTCTATTTTTCCCTTTTAAATTTTGATAATTCGCAATTATACCATTGGTTATAATTAATCCTTAAATAATTATCCATAACTCTTTATTAAATGCACCTCCTACTCTCCCTAAGAATATTTGGTCAAGAATAAAATCATTATCAATAGTTTATAATCTAATACTACATACAAATGATTATGTCTATATTTAGAATTTTAGAATGCCAATGTTCACTTTTTGGTCTACCTTAGTTGCATGTCGGGGGGCTTGCGACTCTTCTCTCTAAGAAGTTGAATCGACTGTATTGGAGGGAAATCAAAGTTTAAACCATGAGAGGGCCAGAGTTTTGTAGAAACTACCTAATGTAAAATTAGAGAATGGTGCGCTTCATTCTTTATTGCTTTGGGTCTTTTGAGCACCGGCTGCTAATGAGTCCAAAATTTCAGCCAAATAATTATAATAACAAGATGTAGAGTCTAGACTTTTAAAATTCAATTTGAATCCATGTATAAACTATGAACCAAATTAGCTAACAAACAACCCTTTTTATTTTTATATAACTTCTCTTTCATCTCTTGAGTGTAAATTAGCTCATACATTTTCTTCCACTCACCATAATACCTACTAAGTCAAAACCATACAATTACAAAAGAAAAGCTCAACTAGAACTCCACTTGGATTAGAATAGAAAATTTAGATGACTTTTTTCGAGGATAAAATTTGCTCAAGCACGTGTTAGCATGGTATGTTCCTCTATAATTCAATTAGAATTTTGAAAATATGTTTCGAAACTTGATTATTGTAGAAATGAGTCAATTTGGTACAATTTAAATTGGTACAATCAATTTGGTGATTATTTTTCTTTTTGGAGACATCGGGATCACTCAAATTTCAAAATGTATTATAAAAAGACTAAAATGAACAAATGTATCTTAAAATCTCATTAGATTAAATATTTTTAAAATTCAACCCCCTAAATGTATTTCATAGTATAATTTGAAAACACATTGTATCAAAAATTCTATGATGTTAATATCATGAAGTAGGGGCACGATTAGGAATGTATTAGGCTAATTGTATTATCCTTTTGATGATACAATGAAAAGTACAAAATAAACTTTCTTACCATGATTTTAGACAAAAAATATTAAATAAATACTACAACCAGCATATTTACATGCATCCAAAATAAATGTTATATTTTTATTATAAATATACCCTAATTACTAAAGTGATATCTTCTTAAGCTTTGGCTTTTTACCTTCTAATTAATTACTCATTTATATGTTACAATTTTTTCATTTATTTCTCTCTTCCTCTCCTTCCAACCATCTGACTTCTATTTCTGAGAAACGAAGTGCTTGGGATGACATTAAAGATGGAATAGATTTCTATGGAAATGCTATCGCAATGATTTAGTGCCAACTTGTGAACCAGAGATTGATAAAATGCATATGAATGACATTATCAGTTTCTCTTGACTCTTGTAATTGTCACGAAACTTTAACAAGTGACAAGTCCCTTCACATGATATATCTCCATCATTCAAACATGTCAATTTTAGTTTTAAGTTTAAGAAATTTATTTGGGAAAACTTTTATTAATTAGCATTTCCTTAAATAGCTTGAACCTTAGTGAAAATTGAGCAAAGATGTGTCTCTCATCTCTAATATTAGATCATCTTTTAATATTGCTATTGTGTTTACATAATAAGTTTGTTCATGCATAGGGTTATAATTTTTTCACTCTATTAATCCACGTTGGGTATTTGCTATTTAGTAAATTTGACCCTCTATGTCTGTATGTTTTGTTTCAGCTTTAAATGCTGATGATTAATATAGACTTTGATAAGGTAATTAAATTTGAAACATGATATGAATTGGTTCCTTTTTTTGTCTCATTACCCTATAAGTTCAGGTCTTCCAGCTATTGGCCAATCTAATTATCTAAGAATCCTAGCACATAAATCTCTTATTATGTTCTTTATGTGGGTTTCATGAATATTTGTAAAATCTAAACCAGCTTAATTACATGAATATTGGTAAAATCTAAATCATCGATTCACTTCATCATTTTACGGTCCACATTTAAAATTTTCAATACTGAACAAGTATACCCACGTGCAACGCACGTGTTGCACGTGCACTTTACTAGTTGAGACAAAATTGCATACTTCTGACTGTTTCTTTTGTATTGTAGATCTGTTCTTTCTTTTCAATATAAGTATATAACAAAAAGGAGGTGTTGTATTTAGGATTACCAAAAAAACAGATCAGCCAATACCTGTTCGATATGGTGAATTTTCACATGTCCCGATGACTGGTATCCCTTTGCCATTCTTATGGTACTCTATCTTTCATCGATATGTGTTCAACTTGCGTAACACATTTAAATAAATCTCACTCCATCAAAAAGCGAGCATAGTATCCCATGATTCCATGAAGCTTATCTTTTAATATGTAAGAACTTGGTTTTGTTTTTGGAATTCTGTATTTGAACGAATCTCAGTTCTGAACCAGAAAGAGCGAGAATGGTAACTTATTAGTCCTATTCTATCATGGACGGGAACTAAAATTATATGGTAAGATGTGGAAAAGTAGACACTCGTCAGGGTCCTAATGAATTAAATAAATACTTAATTCACAGTTTTTGTTTCTCATGCTCCTGTTCGTATGCATGCACACTTACATTCAACATGTTGATGGAACAAGTTGTGAACACGATTACTATCTCATAGGTAGACGTATAATGCTTTCTATATAATCTGGGTCATAAACTTTTATACTTCTAACTCAAGCAGCGGGTGATTGGAAAAGACTGCTGGATTTGTCCTATCTTATGTACTAATTGTGCAATTTGTTAACTTTCTATGGATGATCATATCCTCAAAAAAGCCTTGTTGTCAACAGCAAATCTTTACTAGGATAACCTGTCTCTTGTTAACCATGTCCGATTTCAATTCATATAGGTCACACTAATTGATATACTTGTAATCACTATCAATCTACCTTTGTAATGTTTCCTTCCAAACCTCTAATATCACTTCTATTAGGCTGACTCCTGAATCTTTTTGACTTTGCTAATTGCATTAGGCAGACATGATTGCATTTTGGAATGGACCATGAAATGTTGCCAGGTAGAGACATGTCGTGTGACCTTTAGTCAATTAGTGTATAAATAGATAGGCAAGAGAGTTAGCAAGTCCAAGAAATGCCTGATGAGGCTAGCTTGTGTGGACCAAAAACTTGGTGGGCCATCCATGTTATCATATATTAATTTCAGAATCTTAATACTTTGAGTCGATAGATATAGATTAAATCCATTCTTAATCTTAGACCTCTTAAATATGGTCCCCGATATTTTTAAGGTAATTGGTTGAGTTCATTTTTATAACCCTGAACCACTCGAGTGTGGGAGACAATGAAAATAATTCTGGTTAATTGAAGGTAGTCATTTTAGCTCAAAGATGCATTTAATCAATGGTTCGTTCTATATTTACCATTTTCACATTCTGTCTGTCTATTTTTTTACTTGATAGAGTAATTATGTGAACTTTAGTCTGCTTGGTATATTGCAGCCTGTAAAAAGTCCTGTGACAATTTGCGGTGACATTCACGGGCAGTTTCATGATCTTGCGGAACTATTTCGAATTGGCGGGAAGGTATATTTTTTACATCCCCTTAGATTTGATTGTATTTCATGCTGGATGATGTTGATTAATTATCAACAACATATTGATTTTAGTTATAAGAGCTAAGAAGAATGTCTTAAATCTTGTCTGATATATTTACAAGCATTCTATGTTTAATAAGCGCTATAATCCTTTTATTTGGGCACTGTTAACTGATAATATTTCATTTTTTTATTCTCAGTGTCCAGATACCAATTACTTATTCATGGGCGACTATGTAGATCGTGGGTATTATTCTGTTGAAACCGTCACGGTAAGTAATAAACTGAGCTACTTGCTCTACTGATTTGAACTATTGTACCGAATTCTTATTAAGAAGTTGCATAAGTTTTATTTGTGGTTAAACGTCCTGTATCTTAACCTATTTTTGAATTCAACAGTTTTGGATGTTGTTTTAGAGGCGTAATTATAAAACTACAATGATATGTTTAATTGTATCAGCATATGATCTGTTAAACTATTGGCTTATAGAAATGGTTCCTTTGATCAGCTCCTGGTGGCCCTGAAGGTGCGTTATCCTCAGCGAATTACCATTCTCAGAGGAAACCATGAAAGTCGTCAGGTACAGATTTCATCTGCAGTGTCATGATTAGGAAAATTTTTCTGCTCTGAGCAATGAATGTCATTATCTTTTTAATATTTTCCTGATCCTTCGTGTTTGTTAACTTGATTCGATTGTTCAGCATAGTCTCAGCTGTGTGTCATAATCTTTTATGACCTAAATGTAGGCTCTTATATCTTGTTGTAGCTTCATTGTCGTCCATTTTTTAATGGTCCGTGGATAACTTCTGGCTGAGTAATATTTTTTGATTGCAGATTACACAAGTATACGGGTTCTATGATGAATGCTTGCGCAAGTGAGTTCCATGTCCACATCTTACAATTTAATTCTTTGGTTTCTGAACTGCATCTTTTTTGCTTGTTGCACTTCTTCAGTGGTATCAGGATAAAGCCATCACCATATCTAATGTTTGGAGCTCTTTCATGGGGTTTTTCATGCCTGTATGATAACTTTGGTCATAATTGATCTAATATGTCAATTCGACATATGATCACCCTAATCCTTTTTCCTAATTAGATGAGTGTTTGTTTGTAACAATTGCACATGGATGTGATAGGATTATAGTTAATGGGATAAATAGGACTAGAGTTGGACCTAAAAGAACTTTTTTGGAAACATTAAGAAGGATATGGTAATAGTTAACTTAAAAGAGGAGATGGCCTATAATAGAACTGGATGGACAAATAGGATTCACATAGCTGACCCATAAGTTGGTCTTGTTTGTTGGTAATAATTGCTTTGATGTTCGATGGCTGCTTATATAGTTATTTGTCTTCATCTTTATGGTAACATGGTTTCTACTTTCTCCTCACATGCTGTACTTAAAGGAGACGAGAGGGATTTTCTTTATTAAAGTGCTTCATTTCATATGGTGCAGTTGAGATAGATATTGATAAAGGATCCATTGACTAGTAAAGAGATGTTCAATATATTTTCAGCACAAACTCTGGAAGCAGATACTGATACAACTTGACATGACTAATATGGGAAACATCTCTGGGCAGATTCATATTCATCAATAAAGAAATCCAAAATATAATATACAAAAACTAATTAGCTTGGTTTTCTTATTTGGGGTAGTTTTAGAGAGTATTAACAATGAGTATTTAGTCATTTATTTACAAAGAAGATACAGTTCCATGTTTGCATATTGGTCTATTGTTTTCAAGAACAATATGTAACTGAATCCTGAATTTAATGTCATGGTTATATTTGTATTTGTGTTGGAAACAGAAGTTATTAATTTATGATATTCATGGTGTTCAAGGAATGTAACAGAAGCTTACTCCTTTGCGTTCCTCTTCTATTTGATGGATTCTATTTTGTTTTTTTGGTTTTTTTTGTCCTAACATTTATATTTTTGATGGCAGATATGGAAATGCTAACGTTTGGAAGACATTCACTGATCTGTTTGACTATTTTCCATTGACAGCATTGGTTTGTTCTCAGCACATGTTTCCTTGCATTTCTTTGTTTGTTTGTTTATTTTCCAGTCTCTTGCATCCTTTCTCTTGAAGTTCGATGGTAATTGCTTATTCAGGTTGTAACTATAAAGTTAATTTGCCTGAAAAGCGCTTTTTTTACTTGTATATGAGAGCAGATTCCATACTTTTCCTTGTTTTCCTGTCTGATGGTTCATAATCCCTAATAGCTTAATTGCTAGGAGCTGACCAACCTGGTTATTCTGGGTGGCTGCCTTTTGCAAACTAAAAGACTAGTTTCTTTAAGAATGATCGATAGTTTCTACACCATCTATGTACTTTTGTTACTCCACAAATTTGAGTATGAAGGACGATTATAAAATTACTGACAGCGGTATTAATTGCTAGGACTATAAATAAAAACTTGAGACCATTATAGTTACCCTTTTACTTTTGTTTGGCCAGTAAATTTCTTTGAGCATAACTTGATAAAATTGCTGAGCAGCTGAACGGCATGCAAATATATTGGGATGACGACACTTTTATTTAAACTTCAGGGATCTGGATGTGCTTTCCGAGATACTTTTGAAAATCTTTGCTGCTAAGATCGGTGCCTGTGTATTTTCAGGATGGGATAGACTAGACTTTTGGAGTAAATATCAAATTGTATGCGCATGCAGAACGCCTTTGAACTATAAAACTTATCAAATGTCAAATGTAATAAGTTTAGCAAAAGGATCTTAGGTCTTGAAGGGAAGCGTCTTTGGTGATTTTTCCAATTATTTAGCATTTCTGACAGTATTCATGTTAGCAAAGCTGCTCGGTGGTTGACACCAAAATAGTGTTGGCACTGATTAGTCGAAGAATGTTGTTTGCGTCATACTCGCACAAAATATGGAGACCCCTAATTGATATCCATCATCTATAAATCTAAATGGTGCGGTACATATGTTATGTGGGTGTCAGGGTCTGTATGGCTCTTTTATATGTCAATCACCTGAACTCCAAAAGTCTTTCTTTTACTCTTGTCTGAAATAATGATAATGTATTATATGGGCATTGTGTTATTTTATTTAAAAAAATCGTTCTTTTCCTTATTATTATTATTTCAAACAGCTTTATTTATTGGTGATTGTACAAGTTGAATTTGATATCAGGATTATTTAGTGTTTCATTATTTTTCATTATTCTACTTCTTTTCTTATCTATCACAAATAAATACTATCTTCTTACTCCGAGCTTCATTCTATTGATTTTTTTTTAGGTTGAATCAGAGATATTTTGCCTGCATGGTGGGTTATCCCCTTCTATTGATAACCTTGATAATATACGCAACTTTGATCGTGTTCAAGAAGTTCCTCATGAGGGTCCTATGTGTGATCTCTTATGGTCTGACCCTGATGATAGATGTGGTTGGGGGATTTCTCCCCGTGGTGCTGGATATACTTTTGGCCAGGTACCTCACTACCGTCTTTTATTTGCATTTCAAGTTGCGACCTTTTTAACTTGACTAGTCTTTGTTCAGGATATATCGGAGCAATTCAACCACACTAACAACCTTAAACTGATAGCCAGAGCTCATCAACTGGTTATGGAGGGATATAACTGGGGCCATGTAAATATCTTTTTTCATTTCTGTTATTGTACTCTTCTTTGACTTTAGCATAGCTAAGTTAAAAGTTAACTGTCACGAGAACAGGAACAAAAGGTGGTAACCATATTTAGTGCACCTAACTATTGCTATCGTTGTGGAAACATGGCCTCTATCCTTGAAGTCGATGACTGCAAAGGCCACACATTTATCCAGGTCTCTCTCTCTAAAAACCCTATAAGCGAGAACACCTCGTTCCCCTTCAGCTTTTCCCCCCACTCACTTTCTCGTCATTGCTGCGGAGTATTTTGTGCTGAAAGTTTTTTTTTTTTTTCTTATTGCAGTTTGAACCAGCTCCCAGGAGAGGTGAACCTGATGTAACTCGTAGAACGCCTGATTATTTCCTGTAATGCAGATGTAAGGAGGCATATGACAACGACCTTAAAACCGAGTGTACACTTGTCGAGTTAGAAGTAACTGAAGATAATTCCCTTGGGATCCAAATCATTGAATTGGCATTTTAATTGAAGCGGCTAAGCTCGTGGTGGTAAGATAGATACATGTATAATGTGGAAGGCGCCTCAGAAATATGTCTCTTAAGTTGCAGACCCTTGTATTTGCATTTGTTTGTGTTGGGAGGCAACAGAATTTGCGGCGAGCAGATAGTTGTAGCATGTATCACTTAGAGAACGTTGTGGGTGTCGTTAGTTCTCTTATTTTTCCGTTAATGATTTTTTTGTTGCAATTACAAGTTTCGTTTCGTCTTCTCCATTATCGCGAGCTGTAGAGGACAGGGACTCTTTTTGACATTGTTGTTTATTGATTTTAGATTTGGCTCTCGACTGATCTTTCGGCCACAATTTCTGGTTAATGGTGATTCACAATGTGTCTCTCATCAGCAGCTGTGTCTATATATGTTTCTACTTTTTATTTTCCAGTGCCTTCAAAACATTGTAGCTGGATATTTGATGCCAGCGGGTATAGATTGTTTTCATATGCTATCATTTCATTTGAAGATAATAGAGGGTGTCATTTTGTATATCATTTAAATTTCGGGGCTTGTTTCGCTCAAAAAAGTTATTGATTTGCAGGAGACGTCTGCCCGACCGAACAATCCCTTGAATGTTGCGTCAGGAGTTTATATTCAGTGCCCGTGTGGGCTCTTTTAATGCTGTGTCATCAAAATAAGAATCACAGTGAAACTACTACTTACAATTTGCATGTTCCCTACAGCGAGAGGAGGAAATTATATGTCGTCCTGCAGAGAAATAAATACATCCACGTGAAAGTGTCCGGGCTCTGTTCTTTGTGTCATCAAAATAATGATTTCTTTCCTTGCAGTTGTCAGTACGGTCATAATCATTCATTCTTTCTTCCTTCCTTTTTTTGGGGGGTAATTATGCAAAAGTTTCTCAAATTTCTCAACGTTCGTTCTTCAAAAACTCCAGCTCTTGATATTCGATGATTTTAGTCTCGCCTATCGAAATCAACAGTTATGAGATGGTTGAAACCAGGCGGTCGATTTGAACAAGGAAACGTGCGGCCCGCGTAGATTGACGAGCGCGTTCGCATTTCTTAAACGATCCTGAGGCTGACGTGTCGTTATTGTTTACCGCTATCAGCACCTAGAAACCTATAGAAAAGCCTGCAATCTTTGAAACCCAGAAGGAAGATAATAGTTTTAAATTTTCTTAAAGCGGCATGACATCAACAAGAATGTCAATACAAAAGAAGAATTCCGAACCCCTGAAGAATTCAAACCTTTCGATGCTTTGAAGGACTCAAGCTGCTGAGGCTGCACTTTTCAAACTTTGAATAATTCAAACCGTTGAAGAATCCGCACGGCGCTCTCCTCTGTTGACAGAATTGGAGGGGGAATATTAAATGCTTACAAGGGCTTGTTTGGTTGGTTTCTTGAAAACCAAATAAAAAGAGAACAAAGCGAGGGTGAGGAAATCACTTCCGATGATTTCCGTCCATTTCCTCAACGAAACACATGAAACGAAGCTTCCTAAAATTTAAGAACGCGCCACGTCGTTTCTTTTTTCTTGATTTCATGGTGCGAACCAAACAAAAGGGAAAAAAAGAAACTGTTACGGGAAATAGATTTCTAACAATAGCTTTCACTGATTTATTTGCCAACCAAACAACCCACTTACACTGCTTTATTTATGACAGTAATGTTTCATAATCAAAGGATTGACACGGTCAAACACTAGACACGACTAGTAGAGCCTCATCTTTTGTTGACGAACTAAAACTTTGAACATCGCAAACCTTAACTACAGTTAATATACAGCAAGAACAACGAAGGCAAGTTTGCGTACATTTGATTTTCATCCTGATGACAACTAGGCACGAGAAACAACATGAAAACTAGTTTAAATTTTAATTACTCTGCGATGGTCTGTTAATTTTTCCGCATAGAGCTAATAATGACACACAAGAAGTAACTGGAGAACATACCATTCATCAGAATTGCATTGAGACGCAAGAAGAAAAATGTACAAGGAACAATATTTCATTTCCCACGCTTAAGAAACCAAAAAAGAATAATATACAAATATCTCAACGAATAGAATGGGGGCATATCAACCCTCTACAAGCTGAGATAAGAGAAGAGCGAAGGAACCAAGTCGACGACGGACCATCCAAGTCCTGCATACTGAATAAACCTGATTCCGGTATCAATATCATACTCCTTACGATCAAACAGAGAGAAAAGCTTGTGAAGGTAACCCAAATGCTTATTGTTGTCGGCCTTGCTCTTGAGAGATGGAATGTAGCACGATGAGCTTCGGGTGTTGGGCAGAAAACCTGCCAAAAGTACTCTTTTAGCAGGCTTTCTGCCTAACACTCGGGCCAAAAACATCAACCAAACAGGCCCTAGACATATAAGTCCCCCAACTAAATTTCCCGATTGCTAAAAAAATGACGGAATCAAACTATCATTTGAGTAGCAATTATTGATATGAGAAATTAAATTATTGATGCAAAAGTATTGACAAGTTAAGCTTTTCTAACCTTCTTTAACTTTAGGTATTTTGTGAAATTCAAAAACGGAAAAAAAATCTGACTCAAATACTTTAAGCATAAAAAAGTTGTGGATGAGGAACCGGTGGCCTTATTCAATATTTATTTATTTTTAATATTTGGACGTCAATTCGTTTCAACTTTATCTGACCACCACATAAAAAGTCAAAAGAGTATGATATGCACAAGCGATCAAAAAATAATTGTGATCGTATACAGATTTTTTTATTTTAAAGAATTTATTAATTTAGAGGGTGCGCAACTATCCTTCTAACTTATCAGTAGGTAAAAAATAAAAAATAAAAAATAAAAAATTAAAAATCAAAGAAGCTAAAAGCAAACTCTTGCTATCTTACAAAGATAATGGATAACCATCATGAAACAAATTGATACTTACCATTCTGTCCATTTATGACAAAATCGTCAACATATCCATGGACTTTGATCCAAAAGGCAAGTATAACAACCCCAAAGCTGATTCCGGCCATAACATCAAGCAAGCTGTGCATACCCAAGTACATCCTTGCTGTTAAGAAAAATAATCAAACTTCAGGCATCCGCAAAAGTTTCTTTTTAACTACGCATAAGAATCTGATACTAGCGAAGAAAACTTACCTATTGCAATCAGCATAACCTTTGTGAATACTAGTACAAACCCAACCAAAATTGTGATGTTGTCTCTTTCAGCCCCGCATGTCAGAAAATAATACAGCAAGTATCTACAACAGGCAGAGCTAGCATTAGCCAAAATCGAAATTAACAAAAGTAACACTTGACGGAAAAAAAAACTAGATGCAAAATGGCTATACCCTGATAAGCACACGGTGTTGAGGGCATGCGACGAAGGAAGTCCATACTCCATGGCGTTCTCTTTCTCATCATCGGTCGCGGTAACTCTCCTCAAAGAAGGGCAACTGGGTCTTGGTGCCGATACCAAATCCTACACAGCATCAAAGACGTCGGATGCATTACCTCTTGTTTCTAAATCACAGGGACAGACATACATCAAAATCAAAACCATTATTTCACCTTCATTGCATTTCCAGCATAGTCGCAGAATGCCAACAGGATAGTCGCTTGTCTTGCCAATTTGCTATGTCCACTCTACTCATTACCAAAACAAAAAGGAAATCCATCAATCCTTCAATTTCAGCTCCAACCGCCAATATTTGCAGTAGCAACATATTTCTAAACAACAACAAGAACTCTTCTTTTACGCATAAAAAAATACATGCGACTAAGTTAGGATACTACTGATTTTCCTTTCAACTGTCAATTGCCAAATGCAGAGATTCACAAAAAAAAAAAAAAATCGTTCTAACAATCTGACGTTACATGATCATAACAAGACAAAAAAAGATGGGTTTTTTTTTTACATCAAAATTTTCTTACCCAGAACAGAACGGGAAGAAATCCTATGTAGAACGGAGCGGACACGGCGCAGGATAGCACAGAGAAGAACGCATCCAGGAACCCGTTGTGATTTCTCTGCAACCAACCAACCGATCAGAATCCAAACAAACCCAACCTTCCATCAATCAAAAAAAAAACAAAAAAAATGAAAAAAAAAAAAGTTGGAAAAATGGCAAATGGGTAGGTTTCGTTTAGACCAACCTGAATCTTGAGGAGGAAAGGGGTATCAAGTTGAACCCTTTTGGTGATCCAAGGTTGGGTTAGGGATCTAAATCTTCGAGTCAGATTCAGTAGAGAAGAGGAGAAGAGCCAGCCCAAGAGAAAGGAGAGGGACAGTGGTTGCCAGAACGGAACGCTGCCCTCCATCACTCTCTCTCTTCTCTCTCTCTCTCTCTTCTTTCTCTCTCTAGCGGAACTAGAAGAACAAGAAGATCTTTAATTTTTGCAAAGGTGGCTCCTTTAAAATTTATTAGGCGTCGAAGTTGTTGGATCTCCCATCTCGAAATGAGGCGGGTTTATTAAAGAGGGCTGGCTTGTTTCACTACTAATTCCTCGATTACTAATTTTTTTTTTTTGGGTTTTTTTTTTACGTATTGGTCCCTTACGTCATTGAATCGTTGAATTTTTTTTTGGGTTTTTTTAGATGTTAGCCCCTTACATAATAAGTAATTTGACCTTAGCCCCTTAAATCTTCATATTTTGATATTAGTCCCACAAATAGCTATGATATGAACCCTCAGATAGCCATGATGTGTTGATATGAACCCCTCATATTAACACATGATAGTCACTTGAGGGGCTTATAACAAAATATAGAGATTTAAGGGGCTAATATCAAATGACTTATGATGTAATGGGCTAATATGTAAAGGACCGAGCATGGCTATAAGGTTATTCTTCTATATTGGATTAATCGCTAACTCGGCTAGAGCTAATAACTTAGACCAAAATATTAGCACAGGACTTAAGGGTTTGTTGTTAAGGATAATAGTTGGTTGTAAAGGTTATGCATTGATTGTTAAGATTACGGGTTGGTTGTTAAGGTTAAGGGTTTGTTGTTAAGGTTATGGGTTTGTTGTGTAGGTTATGGATTTGTTGTTAAGGTTACGGGTTTAATTGTTAAGGTTACGGGTTTAATTGTTAAGGTTAATAAAAAACAAAAATAATAAAATAATCCTCATCAGTCATTTCAACTATCCATTGGTACATCATGATAAAGAGAGAGAGAAAACAAAAATAATAAAATAATCCCCATCATATTTTAATAAAAAAAGAAAGAGAGAGAGAGAGGATTCATAACCTTAACAACAAACCCTTAACCTTAACAACCAACCCGTAACCTTAACAATCAACCCGTAACTTTAACAACCTCCCAATACAAACAACCAAAATAATAAAAAACGAAAATAATAAAATAATCATCATCAATCATTTCAACTATCCTCTTGGTACATCATGATAAAGAGAGAGAGAAAACAAAAATAATAAAATAATCCCCATCATATTTTAATAAAAAAAGAAAGAGAGAGAGAGAGGATTCATAACCTTAACAACAAACCCTTAACCTTAACAACCAACCCGTAACCTTAACAATCAACCCGTAACTTTAACAACCTCCCAATACAAACAACCAAAATAATAAAAAACGAAAATAATAAAATAATCCTCATCAATCATTTCAACTATCCTCTTGGTACATCATGATAGAGAGAGAGAGAGAGAGAAAACAAAAATAATAAAATAATTCCCATCATATTTTAATAAAAAAAGAAAGAGAGAGAGAAGGGTATTATGGTCTTCACATATTTTAATGTCTTGGGTTTTGTATTTTGGGGGCTCAGAGAACAGATTCTTTATTTTTAGGGGTAAAACGCTCATTGACCAAGTCCTGGGGGTGGGAAGCATGTTCACTTGGCTTTTGGGGGCTGGAAGCATTTTTCCCTATTTAAAAACATTCGCTTGGTTTTGAGAAAGTTATCTTATTGAAAACACAGTAAAAAGTGTTGCTAAAATGAAATATGAATTAGGATTTTTATATGAAATTACTTTTAAAATAAGGGTGTTATACAGGAACTACTTTTGTTATCTAATTTATACAAGTCATCTTTAAAGTATATTTCATTTTAATCTACCATCAAAATACATTTACTGTTGGTTTTTTAATCAAAATTACTTTAATACCCTTTTTTACCCATCTAAGCGTTAAATTGCGCCCTCCCCTCTCTCTGCGGCATCAACCCCAACCTTACCATGACCCTGTCGGGATCCGTCATGGGCAACTGCGGTACCCTTGTCCACGCCGTCCACCAAGATCTATGGGCCCTCTATAGAGGGGGGAGAAAGAGATAGAGGAAAGAGAGTGTGAAAAGAGGGTTATTATATGGATCTTGACAAAAAAAGTCAACATGAAATATGTTTTTTATGGTTGATTGAAACAAAATACACTTTAAAGGTGGTTCATGTATAGATTAAACAAAATATACTTTAAAGGTGGTTTTCATATAAAAATCCTATAAATTAATCAATTTTAGACCTAAAATCATGAGAGCAGTTGTTTAGCGAGTGATCTATCATTATAGTACTCATTGATCTTGATTAGAATCTCAAGAAAATGATAGGTATCACCTTATTTCATAGTTGGCCTCATAAATTTTGGATAAAAAAGTAATTTAAAATATAGCACTAATCCATCCATATTCCTATGTTTTACACGTCAAGATTGAAGCTAATAAAAAACCACTCACTTTCAAACTAACTTTACCTTTTCCTAATTTCAAAAAGTTTTTTTCTTTTAATTGGTGAAAACACTTAAGGAGATCTCTAATAGAGATTAATATATATATTTTTTTTTCATAAAATGAGGCCGGTATATAAAGAGGGCTTGTTTTACTAGTCCTTTGGACTAATTCTTGAATGATTAAAATTTTGGGATTTTTTACATATTGGTCCCTTACATATTTCATATTTTTAAATCAGCCCCTTGGATGATTAAAATTGTTTTCTGCGTCATCCAATCCTACTAGTTTTTCTTTTTAAAATGGAGAATGTATCATTCAAGAATGTATCATTAGCCATTTAGCCTTAACGGTTTGGCGTAATTCCGGAAAAGGACATGGGATGCTCCTTTAAAAAAAACCCACATACTTAAAGCCTTCTTCAAAGCCTCCTTCTAAAAAAAACAATGATCGAGCATGGGTATAAAATTAATCTTCTACATTGGATTAATCATCAGTAACTTGGCTAGAATTAAGAAATTGGACGGAAATACTAACATAAGAGCTAATTTGAAGTAATTTATAAGATTATGGGGATTAAATAGAAATTTCAAAACTTTGATATTAATTTAAACTATGATACATTCAAGGGGGCAATGTCTTTTTTTTAAAAAAACAGACATTTTCGTAATTTTCCTTTATTTTTAATATGATTTGTTTCGTTGGAAGTTTGAATTCAAGTTTGGATCGTATGGGTCGAATGAAGACAAATTTGTTGAAATATAAATTTATTAGGATAGAAGCTTCACCTTGACTTGCATGTGATCCTTTGTCTCCTTATTTAAAGCAGTTATTTGGTTTTGAAAAAGTCAGTTTCTTAAAAATAGAGCAAGAAGTATTATTTAAAAAAAAATGATTAGCACCCCAAAAAAACTTAATTTTGAATTCAAAGTCATGCACTAAGTATTTAAGGTAGTGTGTCTTTATGATACTTAATAATTATGATTAGCACCCAAAAAAAAAATGATACACCTGTCTTGTATGGTCTTACGAATTTTGGGGGAAAAAAGTATATTTCAAGGACTCTAAGTAGCAATTTGGTATATTTTTACTCCAGCGACGATATTATATATAAAGAGGGATACTGTGGTAATAAGATCTTTGGTTGGAGCAAAATTTTCAACGACTAAACATCACATAACTTATCGTGTGATATTGATGTGCCTTCTTACATGGCAAGTAATTTCCAAAGATTGGAATTGGATTAGAATAATTGAAATTGGGTTAGTGAATCTCTGCAATTTGGGGAAAAATCATTCTCTCCCTTACATGAATAAAAAATAGAGGGAAAAGAGAAAACGGAGAAACTTTTAGGGTTTTTTTTCTTCCCATAACAGTTAGTTACAGATATCGCTTTACCTTCACCGCATAAGGCCAACTAAATCCCATAACAGTTAGTGAATCTCTGCAACTTGCTCGCTTTATATATTTTATCGTTGTCGGAGTAAGAAATATACCAAGTTAGTTCTTAGGAACAACAAAATTTACTAGCCTGATAATTTAACCAAAAACAAAAATTGTTATAAAATATAGAATCAATCATTCATATCCGTAGAGTTTAATATTATTTTTTCTTGATCACCATAGAGTTTAATATTATTTTTTCTTTTGTCATAACATATGCTATTTTAATAAAAAAATTCAATCTTTTTATCGTTCATTTTTTTTGATCAGGTCAGGCCTATTTCTTTGATATTATTATTTTTTGATCAGATCAGGACGTGGGCCGAACCGCTTTAGACATGTGACCCGACCTATTGGGTTCAAGATCAGGTCGAGTCTAACTCGGGTCCGTCCGAGTCAAAGTAGGCCAGGCCTATTTCTTTGATCTGGGGTTTGACATTAGACCAGGCCAGACCCACGACCTGTCTAGGGGCGGGCGGGGTCGGGTTCGGCTCGCGGCCCACGGGTCGTGGGTTGGCACATGAGTTTTTTTACTTTTTCTATTTTTTTATTTTTAATTTATTAACTATATTAACTTTGTATTAATATCTGTTAAACTATATTTAATTTATTTTTTCTATTTTACTCTTTATTTAAAATGATATATACACACACATTGTACAAAGATAAACATCACACACAAAAAATTGCAAATACAAAGATATACACGGTTCATACTTCGAAGAAAAAGTACGTCTACAGAATAATAATAATAATATTCTTTTAGTTTAAATTTAAAATACAAATACAAGAGGGAAAAAGAAAAATAAATGTTAGCTAAAAACTAAATTATAATAGTTAAAATTCGGGGTTGGGTTGGGCTAGGGTGGCTGAGTCGATGGTGGGCTGGGTTAAGGTGGACCGAGCCTATTTCTCTAGTCCCGGGTCTAGAGTTGGACTCAACCCGACCCATGATCCGCCTATATCACGGACCTGGTTAAGCCCGACCCACTACGGATCAGGCTAGGTCATGACCCATGGCGGGCAGGGCCGGATCACCCCGCTGGTTGACCCGGCCCACGCCCAACCCTACCTGAGCTCTGAATTAGGCTTCAGGCACATAACAGAGATCATAAAATCTGGGCCGAAGCCCATTAAGAAACTACTTCAAGTGCAAATGCCAAAACCCCCGGTCCCCAAAAACCTGCCAACAAAAAAACCCCGTCATCACTCGGTGCTCCTCCCCTCCTAGCTCCGATCCTCCTCCTCCTCCGCCGCCGCCGCCATATCCGTCGGGATCCGCTTCACATTTTCCGGCACCTTCTCTTAACTCACAAAGAAGTCCTGCACTTGCATCGTATTCAGGTGAAAAGGGGGCAAAAATGAAAAAGCTGTCATCTTTTTCTGTGGGGTTAATTTTTTGTTGAATTTCGTTGTTATTCGAATCAGTTTATTAGAGGAACAGGGGATGATTCTTTCTCAGAGCTTTATTGATCTCGGGGTTTACCGTCGACGGAAAAAGTGAGTATTTTGATCACATTTTGTTGTGCCCCTTGTTATTTGAACTATCTTGCTATCTATTTTCAATCATGATAGCCTTGATAAAAATAAAACACGAGTTTAACGCTGTAGTTTCAATATTTTCTCTAGAATATTCGTTTAAAATTAGCTTGTCGTGGGCATCATCCAATTATGGTTGGATATTCCATGAATGATGATGCCAATTTAGGCAATGCTTTGTTTTCTCTAGATTAAACACTTGGCTATAATTGGAGTTCCATCATCATTTATTTTCTGGGGAAAATCGAAATTCTCACATTCACCTATAGTGTGAGAGGTATATGGAATATGAACTTGAAATTAGATTATGTGGGTTACAGGATTATCTCATAGAGAATACATAAAGCATTGTTGGTCTTGTAACCGTCGTCCTATGGAGAATAATGCAGGAGAATAATGCAAGAATAGTATAGGAAACTGACCGTTCACCTATAGTATTTGCACATATTGGTATACCCTGTCAGACGTACGAGTATAAAAATCTGCTTATGTTCTAATTCAGCAACAAGGTAGGTAAATTTACTGATTCGTGCAAGCCATCGCGACACAAATCATAGGGTCTATATGAACAAATATGGGTATTTAAATTCTAAGAAATAGGGGTATGTAAAGCACTGAATCTGATCTGATTATTATTCAAATGTTTCCCAAACTTACTCAAACTTATGACAGCTTCTGTATAATCTGTTCATGCTTCCACAAAACAAGCAACGGTCTGTTACAGCAAGCAGAATTAGGGCACCACACAAGAGCATCGAGTTCACAATCACCTTACTGGAATTCTTCAACACAATCAAAGCTTGCTCCGAGATGAAAACTCCTGCCTCGCTCGATCCCTCAGAACACGTCTCAGCAACTTATTAGAAGCTGTTCGAGGAAATTCGGGGACAATTTTGACATAGCTCACCTATTATCATGAGAAGAAAATCAAAATCCAGTGACATACTAGGATATGCGTAAGCAACACTCGTGGAGCTGTAAATGTACCTTGAACAAAGGGTTGAGGTTTTTTTGAATGGCTTTCTGAAATTTAGTCCTCAAGAAATGCGGTTCACAATCTAAAGCTCCAGGTTTTAGTACCACCAAAACGACCAGCTGCTCGGGTCCTCCAGTTACAGGCTTAATGCCGACAGCAGCTGTTTCTAACACCCTTTCATCGGCCCTATTACATACACGTTCAATCTCCACCGAACTTGTCTATGGATCAAACATGTTATCATTTGTTAGATAGATGCTTGCTAGAAAGAGAACAAATGTGTAATGTTTTTACCTTGATCCCCCCAAGATTCATGGTATCATCTGCCCTCCCCTGGACGATATAGTATCCACCAATTGTTCTTTGAACTATGTCCCCGTGTCTTCTCAGTTTCTGTCAAGCAAAATACCATATTAGATAAATACCAGCTAAATGGTTCTCGTGGAGGATATATGTCATACTCATACCATTCCTCGATAAACTGGCATTCCATGGAAGTAAACTTTATTGTGATCAGCATTGAGTATTCTTTGACTGGCACCCATGTGAATAGGAAATAAAGCCACTTCTCCAACACAAGGTTGATCATCTGGCTGCCATGATCAGATTAAAATTATTATCAACACAACTTAAACTGGAAACTAATTTGAAAATTTGAAACTCACATATGGAATTCCTTGTTCATCTAAAATGACAAACCCTGCCGTCATTGGTGGAGTGCTGAATGCTCCAAAAGCTTGAGGTTGCAACAAGCTTCCTACTACATAGGACGATGCGAGCTCTGTCCCTCCACAAAATTCAATAATAGGTGGATAATATGCTCGTGAAGAAAGCCAGAGATCATCATCAATATCAGAAGTTTCACCAGTGGTGCCAAACCCCCTGCAATTTTTTTCTTATTATTTTTACACATTTATAAAGGAAATAAACACCAAATGTTGACATACCTTATCTTTGTCCAGTCAAGCCCCTCCATGCACTTGCTACTCTTCCAGGCTTTTACTATGCTTGGTATCGTGCCTAACACTGTCACAGATGCATCCTAAACAACCAATCTTGTCATTTGCATGAAAGTAAACGGTGAAATATAAAAGATTTAAATATGAATTATTGGTAAACACCTGCACAAATTTGCCAAAGCTTCGACCAAGAGGAGAACCATGATATAGAGCCAAAGTAGCACCAGTTAAAAAGGCGGAATACAATATGGAAGGTCCCATAACCCACCCCAAATTTGTAGGCCAGCAGTACACATCTCCTGCTTGCATATTGCAATGTGCCCATGCTTCAGACGCCGTTCTAATTGGAGAAATTTGTGTCCACGGAATAGCTTTTGGATCCCCTGTGAAAAGGAGAGGGAAAAAAAAATCAGAGATGAATATGTAGATCTTTGTATTGTAGTATATGATGCTAAAAGAGTGGAGGTGATAATTTTGCTTACCGGTAGTTCCAGAAGAGAAAAGTATGTTAGTCATAGCCTCCATCGGCTGATAAACGGGAGGGTAGTTGAATGGCCTGTCAGCATAAGTCTTTTCCTTATTAACTGATTACACACTGAAATTGATAGTTAAAATCAACATTTACTACGTGAAGTAATATTAGAGCTCAGCGTGCAGCCTGCACATTACAGTTGATGTTTGATGTCCGTTTTAAGTATCTTATGCTTCAGATTTTCATTACAGTATGAAAGGTCACATAATAATGACAGGAATTAAAGAGCGGACACATCAACATACTTTGGAAGAGCACCGGTGCTTGATATGAAGTCATTCCATGACAAATCATGGCTCCTCAGCGTGACTCCCACATTATTTCCGCGCACAGGAACGACAATAGCTTTTGATTGGCATCCCTCCACAACGCGACTGCAATAAAAAATAAATTAATCACAACAAATCACATAACCAACGAAATTTTGTTCCCTATAGTCGATTCCTATATCAAATATAAATACATATATGACCCCCGTTCAGTTTGTCTGTCATATTTGGAGCAAAACAGATGACAAAAGTCATGGGAAGTAATATAAGCATCGCTCACTGAGTCTGAGAGTCTAGAGTCCACAAATGCTATTCACTGTGAAATGTTTCACATGTTTATTGAACTGTGGATGGGGTGTTGCTACAAACAAAATACTAGAATAAATAATATCTTAGTAAATTGTACCTGTAGAGAGGAAACGTTCTTCCTCCTCTAATAATGAAATCCTGAAACATATATGAAGCACCACAGTTAGCACATCGCTGGCAGATGAGAAATGGAGGTAACAGTAATAATAACCATTCTGATATCAGCAATGTCATGGTTGGCTCCTTTTCTGTAAGAGGCATGTCGGTATCATTGGTGCTGAATATTGCAATTCTTTGGTAGGGCAATAAACTTATAGAAAAAATTGCAAACATGATGGTTTTCCAGTCACATATAATAGGATGATTGTCCTTTTCTGTTAACAAAAAGCTTTGCTTGCATTTCATGTTTAGTATCGGCTTAGCAGAGAAAAAAAGTAATTATTTTTGAGAAAACACAAAAAATAACTATTGTGTATACACCTTATTTGTTTTGAGTATCCTCCGGTGCATCCCTAATCGAAAATCACATGTCACTTCTTTTATATTCATTTACTCGTTTAGGATGTGGATTTGGATAAAGGCTTTACTGTTGTAATTTTAGGATAAAATCATATATTACTCTACAGTAAATTTGTTTTAGCTATCCAGATTACTTTGAGGAGTAATTACTTTATAGAGCTTATTCAAAGGATTTTGTCCAAACAATCATCATTGATTCAATTTCTGCAACTTCGATTAGCTTGGTGCTGATACTAAACGAAGACTTCAGTTAAAAGCCTTCAAGTTATACGCATTAACTTAAGACTTAGATTCTTTTTTTTATTAGGACATTATACATGAAATACATGTTTCTTCTTTACCCCCCATCAAATACATATCAACCTGTATTGGCTCTTTTTATAATTACAATAGAAATGGCCTGGTATTTGAAGAAAGTCACCTGAGTAAATATTCCTTTTGCATTTGTTATTCTCATGCGAGTAGCAATCTCGTTCGCAGCAAAGCTATCAGCGATTGTCACAGCAACATATCCAGCGAGAACTATTGCTAAATATATGATAACTGCTGTCGATGTCATTGGCATATCGATGGCGATCATATCTCCCTTTGTAAATGTCATATCCAATGCATTAGCTACCAACCTGTAAGACATCAATAGGGAAATTTATCTGCCATATGGAAGAAAATCACAACTATGATGTCTTGTAATTTTTTTAGTAAGAGCGAGAGGGGGGGAAAAAACGAAACCTAATGATGCAAAATTCACATACATCACTTGATCACGAAGCTCCTTGTATGTCAAATAATTAACAGGATCGTCGTCAAAGCCCTCGTTCCTCCAAATAATCGCCACGCCGTCATCTGTTTTCTTTGGCAAGCTCCCTGGTAACAGACAGCATTCGGCAATATTCATAATTCCTCCTGGGAACCAAGTTCCCCCGACGTTTGATCTGTCCGAAGTATCAAGAATAGCTTTTGGCGGCTCGCGAAATACAACAGAGAGCTCTTTTATGGCGATTGACCAATATATCTGAAACCAGCAAAAGCTCCACTCTCAGGGCAAGAACATTTTCATCGATAAAACGAACTACAAATTATGTCTATGGAGGAGATCACGCGTCTACCTCAGGATGTTGAACCGTGAACTTCTGGAACAGGGAAAAGCTTGTAACCGGATCATGATATGATGATCCTAACAGCTTCGGGCCATGAACTTCCATCACCCTCCCGAGATTTGAATCTTTGGATTGTATCCTGGCGATCAAGTAGTGGTACATGTTATTTGCAATAAATAAATAAATAGCGCATTACTAAAAAAATTAAAGAATCAGAAACTACAGCAAGATTGTAATTCGAAGAATGAAGAACGTCCAAAAGAGAAAGAACGATGCAACAGTTTTCAACCTCACACAATTACTTGAAATTTCCTATCAACATATCCACACAGAAATCAAAGCCTGATAAAAAAAAAACCCCATTTTGTTTTAATGCAGAATGTAGAATAAAAACCCAAACTCTGAAAAAAGAAAAAAAGGAATAAAATTTTACTCGGAAGGGAACCAGTAGGGAGGTGGTCCTCTGACCGAGACATCCCACTCAGCATACACAGAGTAGTAAACAAGCTGATGAAGCTCATGAGGATGGCTCGGCTTCAGCAGTCTTCTCTCCACCAAATCCCTCCATAATCCGGCCTCTGATCCTTCTCCCTTGTGAGCTTCAGCCACCCGTCGCAGCTCGCATCCGCTGAGCTCAGTCCTGCTGCTGTTATGTCCTCTGCTGTAATTTCCCATATGCTTGATTTGGCGGCAACAGCCATGGACAGTGCTCTCTGTCTCATGATGAAGCTCATGAGGATGGCTCGGCAACAGGTTTATGAATCTACACGGGTTATTTTGAGATTACTAGCTGTAATATATGGGTGTGGTGGGGATTCGTCCTATCGACGACCTGTCAAATGAACCCTCTTGCGGAAAAGTGCCCTCCGGATCTTGTGTTGAAAGAAGGCAAGAAGAAATCACAGCAAATAAAAAAAAAATTGCAAGGAAAAAGTAGAAGAGAGAACACCAAAATTTTAACGATGTTCGGCAACTTGCCTACGTCCTCGGGAGCCACACAAAAAATTTTCCTTTCAATATTAAAGAAGATTACAAAGCTTGCAAGAGATGATCTCAAACTCCTTGAGATCACTCAAAAAAGAATTCTCTTTTTATTTCTCAAGGCGCGAGATTTTTCTCTGAGAAATCGCGGCTCAAGGCGCTGCAAAAATCGCCGCCAAAAACATTCTGGAGATCGCTCTGGAAAACTAGCGTTTAAGTGACGGTCAGGGTTCCCTATTTATAAGGAACCCTTGGTCAAAACAGATTAGGAATATGTTTTTTGCGAGTTCGCCGGACTGCGAAGCTCGCCTGTATGACTTATGTTTGCTTGAACATAGTCAAGCTCGCCTGAACTGCTTCGTCTGCGCTTAGAGCTCGCCTGCACTTGGAGTTCTCCTGAACCTCCAAAGCTCGCCTGATCTTCCAAGTTCTCCTGAACTTCCAAAGCTCGCCTGAACTATCAAGTTCGTCTGAACTTCCAAGTTCGCCTGATTTCTTAACTTAGAAAAATCTTTGCTTTGCAAGCTTGTTCTAAGGTTTGGGTCTACACCCGAAACCAACAGGGTGACCCTAGAACCCATAGGAAAAGCAATTCTCAACGTTATCCGTGTAATTACAATCAGTAACCTCAGAATTATCCACGTAGATACATAAGACTCCTACATCATCTTTTAAGGTACCGGATTGCAATGAATCCATTATGTATCCATCTATAGACTTTTTGTTAGCAAATTTGTGAAGTATCTGACTAAAACTGGTATGGGTGCTGAGAGTTTTAATTTGTATGAATGTGATTTTTTTTTTTGACTAATTATTTTATGGGATCCCCAAAAGTGCATCATGGGCTCCTGACATCACTGTGTTTTTTTTTGCATTTGAAGAGATAAAAGGGTGCAAAGTGTGTACGCAATTGCCAGTACTTAATTGTCCCCAAGTTGAGAGCTACAGGGGGTAAGTCAACTTCTGAAACTGGCAATTAATCCCTTAATGGCTGTTTTTATATGAGATTTCAGAAGTTCTGACTGAAACTCACGTGGGTAATAAGTCAACTTGTATGGACTCTGTTAAGTTTTTTTCTAGAGTTTTCTTTGGAATCCCAAAATTTAATGTGGGCTCATGAAATCAATGGCTCTTTTGCATTTGGAGGGGGATAGAATGCTTAGTACACACGTCATCTGCCAACACTTAATTGCAACTCGCTTGATGGAGATAAGAGGCAAATTTAACAACGCATTTCTAAAATACAGTAACAACTATTTCAATTTAAGTGGATGGTCCACCAAAGTTTCTATCCACTCATGTTGCCTAACTATCCTTGCATGATATGAATAGTCTTTTTATATCTATACTACTTATAAAAGAGAATACTCATATCAAAACTTTAAATTTCCTATTTTACCCTTTTAAATTTTGATAATTCACAATTATACCATTGGTTATAACTAATCTTTAAATAATTATCCATAACTCTTTATTAAATGCACATCCTACTCTCCCTAAGAATATTTGGTCAAGAATAAAATCATTATCAATAGTTTATAATCTAATACTACATACAAATGGTTATGTCTATATTTAAAATTTTAGAATGTCAATGTTTACTTTTTGGTCTACCTTAGTTGCATGTCGGGGGGCTTGCAACTTTTCTCTCTAAGAAGTTGAAACAACTGTATTGGAGGGACATCAAAGTTTAAACCATGGGAGGACCAGAGTTTTGTAGAAACTACATAAAGTAAAATTAGAGAATGATGCACTTTATTCTTTATTGCTTTGGGTCTTTTGAGCACCGACTGGTAATTAGTCAAAATTTTTAACTCAAGACTATGAATTTCTTCCCAATCAGTCACAAAATAGTATAAGACAAAGTTAATCAAATAATTATAATAACAAGATGTAGAGTCTAGATTTTTAAAATTCAATTTGAATCAATGCATAAACTATGAACCAATTTACTACAAACAACCCTTTTTATTTTTATATAACTTCTCTTTCATCTCTTGAGTGTAAATTAGCTCATACATTTTCTTCCACTCACCATAATACCTACTAAGTCAAACCATACAATTACAAAAGAAAAGGTCAACTAGAACTCCACTTGGATTAGAATAGAAAATTTAACAAAGCACATGATGTCGACTTCTTTCGAGGATCAAATTTGCTCAAGCACGTGTTAGCATGATATGTTCCTCTATAATTCAATTAGAATTTTGAAAATATGTTTTAAAATTTGATTATTGTAGAAATGAGACAATTTGGTACAATTTAAATTGGTACAATCAATTTGGGATCACTCAAATTTTAAAATGTATTATAAAAAGACTAAAATGAACAAATGTATTTTAAAATCTCATTAGATTAAATATTTTTAAAATTCAACCCCCTAAACGTATTTCACAGTATAATTTGAAAATACATTGTATCAAAAAAAATCTATGATGTTAATATCATGAAATAGGGGCACGATTAGGAATGCATTAGGCAAATTATATTATCATTTTGATGTTACAGTGAAAGTACAAAATAAACTTTCTTACCATGATTTTAGAAAAAATATTAAATAAATACTACAACCAGCATATTTACATGCATCCAAAATAAATGTTATATTTTTATTATAAATAGCCCTAATTACTAAAGTGATGTCTTCTAAAACTTTGGTTTTTTACCTTCTAATTAATTACTCATTTTGTATGTTATAATTTTTTTTATTTATTTCTCTCTTCCTCTCCTTCCAACCATTTGACTTCTATTTCTAAGAAACGAAGTGCTTGGGATGACACTAAAGATGGAATAGATTTCTATGGAAATGCTATCGTAATGATTTAGTGCTAACTTGTGAACTAGAGATTGATAAAATGCATATGAATGACATAATCAGTCTCTCTTGCAATTATCACGAAACTTTAACAAGTGACAAGTCCTTTCGCATGGTATATCTCTATCATTCAAACATGTCAATTTTAGTTTTAAGTTTAAGAAATTTATTTGGGAAAGCTCTTATTAATTAGCATTTCCTTAAATAGCTTGAACCTTAGTGTAAATTGAGCAAAGATTTGTCTCCGATCTCTAATATTAGATCATCTTTTAATATTGCTATTGTGTTTACAGAATAAGTTTGTTCATACATAGGGTTATAATTTTTTTCACTCTATTAATCCACGTCGGGTATCTGCTATTTAGTAAATTTGACCCTCTATGTGTGTATGTTTTGTTTTAGCTTTAAATGCTGATAATTAATATAGACTTTGATAAGGTAATTAAATTTGAAACATAATATGAATTGGTTCTTTTTTTGTCTCATTACCCTATATAAGTTAAGGTATTCTAGCTATTAGCTAATCTAATTATCTAAGAATCCTAGCACATAAATCTCTTATTATGTTCTTTATGTAGATTTCATGAATATTGGTAAAATCTAAACCAGCTTAATTACATGAATATATCTAAATCATCGATTCACTTCATTATTTTACGGTCCATATTTAAAAATTTTAATACTGAACAAGTATACCCACGTGCAACGCACATGCACTTTACTAGTATATATAAATGAGTGAATAGAAACTTTGGTGGACAAAGACTTGATGTTTACTTAAGTTGACATAAGATCAACTCCTATTTCTATCGCCTAAAATACTGCCATGCAACAAGGTAGAACACTATTGTCTTTCCTTTCAACTGTCAATTGCCAAATGCAGAGATTAAAATAAAGGTTAATTTCACGATACACCCCTGAACTTTGCGGTCGTCCACATAACCCCATTGAACTTAACTTTGTTAATCTCATGTAACACCTGAACTACGGGATGTCTCACAAACCCCCCCTAAACTTTATCTTATCTCACATAACCCCCGGTCATGTAATTTGCAAATAATTAAAATGTTTTTGAGAGGAAAAAATCCCAAACTTGCTCACTTGTCGTTTACACTCAAAATACCCCTTCCCAAAATTTTGAGTTCTTTTTCTCTCTCAAGAAAATTTTATTTATTTACAAATTACGGATAGGAGGGCTATGTAAGATAAAGTAAAGTCTATGGGCGTTTTGTAAGATACTCCATAGTTCATGTGGATTAAGTGAGATAAACAAC